AGGACTCAAGGGCTCCTAATAGGAGTCTAACATAGGGGTATATTAAGTCTCTAGGAAAGAGGAAGCTGACCGATGAACCCACAGACTGATCCCACCGATCGCTCGGGGGCTCAGGGGCTATACCCAAAGGGTATGGTCATGCGTACCCGCTTGGAAAAGTCAACATGAGCCCGAGCAAGCTAACAATCATAGCTCAAGGCTTGGGGGTCAGGCACGGCAGCCATGGTCTACCAAACGATTGCTGACCTCCACTCAGCACCTGCTTGGGCTAGTGCCCGGGCGGCAACTAGCGCCTTGAGCAATGGGCCAGGATGCAGCTCCAAAACCCATCATACACTTAGAGCCTGTCAAGTATGGAGATGCTACACCGTCTACCTATTCAACAGACGCGAGGCCTTGTCTACCAATCTCTCGGTAGGGTCACAAAACAGGCATGACACAATAAGACAAGGGGCTCCACCAGCTCCAAGCCAAGATTGGAACTGGGGCCCACTTGTCAGCACCTCCAGACAGAGGCTGCTTGTGGACCTAGAAAGCCTCAAGAAGGCTCACCATGGGGGAGGCCATGCCGCAGCAGGCAACCTCTATTAGTCAAGCGCCAGAATGTTGGCAGTGGCGTCAGGGGGTGGTTGTGTCACTGTTGGCTCCCACTTACACGACAAAACAACGTATAGAAACACCGCAACAGAGGATGCATGCACCCTCCATATGGACCATAGGCTAGAGACAAACCTTGTACACCGTAACCTCCTCAGAAATTAGTGAGAGATCTGACTCAACGACTCATTCTAGGGAGGAGGGAGTGAAGAAGAATACCGACAAACTCTATGATAACATCGAGTGTTCCCCTACAAATCTCTTTCGATTTCCACCACTGTAATGCCCATTTGGGCATTCCTAACACGAGATTACTATACGCTAGACGTACGGCTCAGAAGTCTGATCCAGCATAAACCTAGTTGTGTTCCTTCCATGTTTTGAGTATCTGAGCCACCGGAGACCCACACATCAACCTCCAACGAACAACTATGATGCTCATTGTGGTTACGAACCTGTGACAATCCCCGACACGGGGGCTAGCGTCCGGACGTCTGGGCGCTAGCCACTCAAATTTGTCTTTAAGGTAAATTGTGATTTTAGAAAAGTATGCATAAGGGGGATATGACTAGGTTGATAACCTCCCAGCACTGCTTTGCGAGAATTGGCACCGGAGGAAGAGGTGTTGTATGGTCTCTTCCGCTTTGTATCTTGATTACACAAAACATAGCTGTAGGAGGGTAAGTGCATGTTTCACCTTGTTTGAATATTCCTTGTGCTTAGTCTATCTTTGATGAGAAGCTAGAAAAACACTTTATGTTTATATTGATAGAGGCCATCCCAAAGCCATTGGTCCATAAATTAAAGATTGTGACCATGCGGGCATGGAACCAGCCATGGAATCAACGGCCAATCCAACTAGTCACTAGAAAAACAATGTCAACACCCAAAGGATATAATAGATTTAATAATGATGAGCACTGTTGACCATCACTAACACCCGTTTTGACCATCAACATTCCACCCAAAAGCATGGCAAAGTAAGGTAAATCATCATCACATGTGTAGAATTATGTTTAAAATTCACCTAGTTCCACTTGTGCTTATAGAGTTATTTGTATGCAGGAAATTTGAGCAAAAATAGGCCAAATTGGTGACAAGGACACATGGAGCAAGTGGACGTGGCAGGGAGCCTTGGACCCACTTGGCAGCGCTGCCTAGCCCCCCAAGTGCCACCTTGGCACTTGCCACTTCACCGATCCATGAGAGCTGCTCCACAAGCCCTCTCATGCGTTGATTTAAGTAGATTTGCACCGATGGTCATGATGAAGAAGCCATGGATCTCTGGGTCCACCATCATAGGCTTGGGAGGCTCCAACCGACCTTGGAACCGACCTCCTGTCCAAATCTCCACATGTGCTATCTTTGTAACCGCCTTTGGGAGCCAACCAATGCCATAGGATGCAATGGCGGTGCATCCTAGGGCCGGCCGACGCCCCCTAGCCGCCGCCCGGTGCCCCCCTTCGGCGACCGACCTCCCTAGTGCCTACAAGTGCCCCCCATGCCTCTCTACACTATAAATAGAGGGTGTGGAGCTCAGTGGAAGGACTCCCCATTCATTTCCAAGCTCTCCAAACTTCTCTTAGCTTTCTAGCTTAGCATTAGCTATAGAGTAGTAGTCTAATAGTGGAGTAGAGCAAGAGCGGAGCTTCTCTCAAAGTCCAGAAGAGTCTTTTGGGTCTGGTATAGCTCCTTTGTAATTCTTTCATTTCATCATTTACTTTATTCAATATTTATTTTAAGTACTTTATTCTAGTATTATTGCTTTGCTTTACTAAAGTTCTAGTTCATTAATGTTCATCATTAGTGAGCTTAGGTGCTTATTGTTTGGCATTAGTAGCATAGGTTATCTCTTAATTAGTAGTCTTTCGTTAGTACTGGTTTCACCGTCTGGTTAGGGTGCTTTGATCTCATTTCATCAGAGCTCAGATCAAAGTAGTAAGCTTGTAGATTAGGTGTGGTGCTTAGGCTATAGATTATCTATGGATACGGCTAGGCCTCCGGATAGATTGTGGTAGGTGGCAAGTGGTGACAGCCTAGTCCATCCTCTATATTCCACCATGATAGGTAAAGTTATTAAATCATAGGGCTCGTGGAGGACCTTGTCTATTTAACTCTCCTAGTTGGTAGGCGGGCTATGCCTGAAGTACTATCGCATTTCTCCTAGTCATTAGTTTACCCTTAGTTACATGAAAGATAAATTGCTTGCTCTCCCACCTAGCTATCTGTAGTGTAGCTTGTATTTAGTAGTTTAGTTTAGGTAGTTTACATTTAACTTCCACTTTCGTTTACCTACCTAGGATTAACTTAGGCTCTATCTTAGCAATTCTTAGCTCAATATAAGTTCTAGCCTTCCACCTTCTGTGGGAAAAATATAAATTCGACACTCGGTACTCACCGAGCGAAGTGCTACACGATAGTTCTGTACGCTTACGAAATTCCTCCAATAGTTGTTAAGAAGTATCAACAAGCACTTTGCCCAATTTAACCTTGACATCATCTGTCTGCGCTTACTTTAATCAGCTTTGTTACAATGAAATTCTTCAAATAACTGCACAATGTCATTTTTAACATTGTGCCAACATTTCTGAAAAATCTCAATGGGAATTTTGTCAGGGCCTGGGGTTTTATTACTCTCCATTTGGAATAGAGCAACCTTAATTTCTGACTCAGAAAAAGGTTGGCATAATGTTTCATTATCTGACTCACATAATTTGTAAGAGGCATTCCAAATGGATGGATCCATATGAATATCATGTTGAGGTACTGGACCAAATAGTTCAGAATAGTATTCAGACGCATGCCTAAGTAAGTTATCATCCGCTTCAATGCAAATCCCATCATTCTCAAGGGTTATGATAGTGTTCTTCCTCTTTCTACCATTTGCACATCTGTAGAAATATTCAGTATTACTGTCTCCCTTAAAAAGCCATGTCTCATGACTTCTTTGGAGCCAGTATAGCTCTTCTTGTTCCAACATTCTAAGATTTTCATAGATAATCCAGTGTTTTCAAATCACTTGCTCCTTGATAAGCCAACATTCTCTTCTAGATCTTCTAAGGCAATTAATTCAATATGCAACTCTTTCTGAGTTTTCTAGCTTTTTCTTGATTATGCGCCCAACCTTTAAAAGATTGTTCGAACAATTTCAATTTTAACAGAATCATATCCAATGCAGTTTTAGCTTTACTAGGTTTGCACCAAAGTTTCTCAACTAGCAAGAAGAACTCATGACTGTTGAACCAGTTCAAATCAAACTTAAATTGTATGGAGGCCCTGTCTCTAGGTGCCCCAATAGATAAAATTGGGGGTTGTGATCAGAGATTTCCCTTGGAAGTTTGCTAACCATAGCAAGAGGGAAAGCATCTTCCCAACTCTTATTAGAAACCAAGATTCTATCAAGCTTCGCTAGAGTTGGTGGATCTTGATTGTTAGACCAAGTATAAATGCCACCAGACATGATTAATTCTCCTAGTTCAAAGAAGTGACTGATGTAATTAAAGATTCCTGAGTGTCTATGCACACCTCTATTGGAATTTTTCTCATTAGCATATCTAATAATATTAAAGTCTCCACCAATCAAATAGGGGTCATCATTAGCACCACAAAATCTAGAAAGTTCAGAAAAAAAATTCAAACTTATGATCATCATGGGCTGGACCATATACCACAACAAGATTCCATTTAATCTTATTTTCCTAGTCCCAAAGATTCATTTGAATCATAAATTCTCCTTGTGTGAAAGAGCCCACATCATATCTATTAAGACATATGCCAACCAAAATCCCCCTAGACCTGTCCTTGGAGGGAATCCATTCCCAAAGGTAGTCTTCATGGATATCAAACTTCCTAAGTAAGGACACTTCACAATCCTCTACCATGCATGGTTTCTTGTAAACCAATAAAATCAAAATTATATTGAAAAATGAGGCTTTTCAGAAAAGTAGAGACCCCATTTTTTAAGGTAGTCTGGACGCTGGTCCTAGATGTATCGAACACGGTGGTTTCGGTGCTGCGAACCACGGCATTTTTTTTTTGTAACTCTGTGCATCTTTGTACAATACCTGCTTGGTTGTCCAATTATAAGACTGTTTTGTTTTTTAAGATATGTAGCTTTTTCTAGACACTTGGATGTCTAATACATTAATAGAAGCAATAATAATATATCTAGAAAAGCCTAAATTATATTTTATAACTTAGGACCAAGGGAGAGTACAGTACAAAGACTAGAGCACAATTACATAACACACACACACACGCACACTACAGTACATGACGCGCGCACTAGGATTTCGTTTATAGTGCACAACCTATACACGAAATAGCGAGTGGAGTAACCTTCAGAGCTGACAGTTGTAGTAGGTACAAGGCAGCATGCCTGCCGGATTAGTATCTAACAATCTCTACCTACATGATCTCAGGATTCCGCATGCAGTGCAGGTGGGCGGCTTCGCGATCAGCGAGGCAATCATCTCCTCCATGTCCGTGGCCCCGACCAGGCAGCAGTCGCCGACGTCGTCGTCGATGCTGACAGCAGCATCGGCCCGGGCGTTGTACAGACGGCCGAGGACGAGAGTTTGGCTGGCGGCCGCGAGCCGACGGGACAGCGCGGCGGCCTCGGCGCGCAACGCGGCGTTGGCGAGCAAGGCAGGAACGAGCCTAGCGCGCGCGGCCTCCGCGTGCGCCGCCAGGTCACGATTCTCGCGCTCCAGGAGGGCCACGCTGTCCCGGAGCTCGTCGAGGTGGCACAGCTTCCGCGCGCGGGACCGCCGCGCGGACTCTCGGTTCGCTATCCTCCGCCGGAAGCATCTCTCCTCGACGCACTCCGCCGCGGCGCCGTCGACCTCAGGCGAGGACGCCACCACCGCCGCTGCCTTTGCCGCAGTCACAGGATGCGGAGTTGGGAGTAGTGGGCCATCTGTGGGGCCGGATCCGAACCGGACATGCTGTTCTACCATCGCGGGGAAGAGGACCTGCATGTCGATGCAGGTCATGCGCCCTGAGAAGGCCATATGATATGATCTTTTTTTTTTTGACGGGGTGGTAGTAGTTGCTGTGTACTGAAGACATATCAGAGGAGGTAGAAGGGAAGATGGGAAGGCTGCAGTATTTATAGGAGGGACAACGGAAGTTTGGTGTGGTGTTTGTTGTTGGTGGTCCAATACAATGTTGGTTGGTGATGATACTCCCTAGGCCTAATCCAATCCGTGGAATAAATGGAGGCCTGCCAATGCAGTAGGCACTGTTTATGTGTGCTTTAGCCCCTATGAGCGCACGCCACGCCTAACTACTCCGATCCTTCACAAATCACGAGCGTGAGAGCGAGGCTGGCCAGGGCCTCCCGCTCGCTGCACGTACGGCAAGTCCCGCGTGTCCCCTCTCAGTCCGTGCAGCTAATCTGCCTTCCCACGTTTTCTATACCTATACCTATCTATCTATACCTTAATTAATATTAAAGGGCCAAAGTTTGAGCATATTCCTTTTCGGCGACCTCTCCCTTAATATACACAACTAACTAACTTGGTGACAGTCTGGTGTCCCTGTGGTCGTGCAACTCTAATTTTTGTTCGTGTACGTGGTGAGAGTTAGGGTTTCAGTACAGGCGTGAGTCCAGTTTATATTTGGTTTGCGTGTTCAGAAAAAAAAATTGGCTAGTTTTGTTCGCGTACGTGGTGAGAGTTAGTGTCTCGGACTCTATCTATCACCTTTGCTTCTCCGTGGCTCGGTGACCTAGATGGTTGACAAGTTGAGGCGCCTTTTGTCTCTCTCCGCACGTACATGATGGAAGATCCGACAGTGCGGCGACAAATCAACTGTGAGTGCTCAGCAGCAGCTTCTTCTCCTTGCCAGCACTACTTAAAAAAAACGTTTGTAGTAACGGAATAATTTTTTTTAATAGGGATAGCTGGTGATGGAGTCGTCCCTACAGTGGACATGCTTGGGACCCACAAGACCAGCCACCCCTACAAATGACACAGTAGGGGCGACTGGTGATACGGGCCACCCCTACAAATGAGTCGATTTGTAGGGGCGGCTCACTCACCAGCCGCCGCCGGTGTAACGATTTGTAGGAGCGGCTCAATCACCAGCCGCCCCTACAAATGCCCCACGTATAAAAACCTGCAGCCCCTTCTTCCTCCTCGGATCACTCACTCCAACCTGTGAAAAAGGTAGGGAGAGCTTAGGCACCTCCAAAAAATTGCTCTACTAAGGGGAAAGGTTTTGGTCTCAAATCCTTTGGTGGAGAGGTTGTAGAAGGTAAGAAAATGCTATTCCACACTTTTTTTAAAGTTTTAATGGTTGGTTAGTGAGTAATTAGAGTTTTGCTTTTCTCTTTCTTCTATGGTGCTTGAGCTACTTATGAAACAAATTAGACCCAAGTTTTAAATGTACTAGGATAAATTAGGTAGGGGAACAAGATCATACCCTTATTTGGTCCATGTTTCTTGATTTTAGTGAACAATTAGTTAGTTTTATGGATGTTTCATGTGCATGTAGATCTAGATCTAGATCTAGGGTTTGAGTCTTTTATTAATTTTGTTTTTGTAAATTTATGTTTGATGAAATTGGACTATGGTTTGCATGAAATATATTGGATAAAATATAATTGTTGCTAATTGTTGTCTTTGAAATTGTTTATTGTAATCAATAAATATGTATTTTAATTATTTATGGATAAATAGGTCATTAATTAATTTTCATCTACCATGGTGTGTTTGTATGCTTTATTAATTATATTTGATTTATATTCATATATATCTGAACTATATACAATTATTCTCAAGTAATTATTAATTTGATTTATTTTTATATATATCTGAATAAGTAGTCCTTTAATGTTTGTTTTGTCATTGTTGTAAAAGATGAAGTACAAGAATTCTTGGATGTATGGTTCGTTAAGGTCAAGGCAGGTTTCCGTGAAGAGGTGGATAAATTTATTAAAGTCGTGGAGAAGCATGCAACGACGTTGACAGAGAATAAGGATAGAATTATTTGTCACTGTAAAGATTGCAAGAACCGTATGACATCGATAGATATGACTATCATCATATCACATTTGATTATGCGAGGATTTGTTGAGGACTATACGGTGTGGATTCATCATGGTGAAACAGTTATTGTTAACGACGAGGATGAGAAGGAATACGACGACGAAACACTAGAATCTGTCCCAATTTTCAGCAGAGCTTGATGCACAAATGGATCCCAAGTTTGGCAATGAACAAGGTGGTGATGCTGGTGGTTGGGATGGTAACGACGAAGGTGGCGGCAATAATTATGGCGGAGCACGTGTCGGGGATGAAGATGATTTGGAGGACATGATTAGAGCCCTCGGACTAGAGATTTTACTAAAGAGTCCGAAAGGTCTAGAAAATTTGGAAAGGACGACAAAAGCATTGAAGAAGATTGTGTATGGTGTTGAAAAGGGGTGTCCCACACATTGGACATTGCTATGTTTTGTGCTTAAGCTACTCATCCTGAAGGCTAAGTATGGCTGGTCAGACTGTAGTTTCAATGATCTATTGTGTCTCCTATCATGGGTGCTGCCACAACCAAACCCAGTTCCCGCCAACACATACCAAGTGAAGAAGGTCATAAGTCCATTGACAATGGGGGTTGAAAAAATCCATGCATGCCCCAACCACTTTATCCTTTTTCATGGCGAAACGTTCAAGTCACTAGATAAATGTCCCCAGTATGGGGCCAGCCGGTACAAGAACAATGACCTTTACGGTGGGGACGAAGCCTCCACGGGGAAAAGTGGAATAAGAAGGGTACAAAAAAGGTGGTACAAGAATCTCAGCCCCTAGAGGACACTCCATTAGGCAACGATGCAACAGAAAAGAATTCCTACCTTGGTAATGTGGTACCTGCCAGTGACCGACCGCTTGAGACGTATCTTCCTAAACCCTAAAGAAGCTGCACTCATGACACGGTGGGATGATGAGCGCAAGGTGGATGATGATAAGATTGCACACCCGGCTGATTGTAGTTAGTGGCAAAGGATCGATAAAAAGCATAAAGAATTCAGCGATGACCCAAGGAATGTACGGTTTGTCTTGAGCACCGATGGAATGAATCCCTTCAATGAGAGGATGAGTGACCACAGCACTTGGTCAGTGATCTTAACCATGTACAATATCTCAACGTGGTTGTGTTAGAAGAGAAAGTACCTTCTCCTTACTATTCTTATTTCTCGCCCTAAACAACTAGACATTGATATAAACGTGTTCCTCGAGCCTTTGATGCAAGAAATGGAGAGGCTATGGAGGCATGGGGAGCCGATGTACGATGCATTCCGAAAGGAGGACATCATATGTAGAGCAATAATATTTGTTACTACCAATGATTACCCCACGCTGTTTATTTTGTCTGGACAGATCAAAGGGAAGGTGGGATGCTTAGTTTGCTTGGATGGTACTACATGGGTGTTCTTGGATGCATCCAAGAAGATAGTTTACCTAAGGAACCGGCGCTTCTTAAAGACAAGTCACAAGTACCACAACAAATTGTTCTTCAGATTTTATGACAACACCCCGGAGATTGAATCCCCTCCAAAGAGACGTCATAACGGAGAACACGTGTACATAATGGTGAAAAACATATGCGTCGTCTATGGAAAGAAGAATCCAAATGAGACAAACAGAGATAGAAGCACACCTCCTGTCGAAGGTGTACTTTTTAAGAAACAATCGATCTTCTTTTAGTATCTGCCTTATTGGCTAGACTTGGAGGTCCCCCATGCCATTGATGATATGCATGTGCAGAAGAATGTCTTTGAGAGTCTCATTGCTACCTTGATGGACACAGGCAAGTCAAAGGATAGTCTGAAATCACAGAAAGACATGGTGCAGCTAAGCATGATGCCACAGCTTCACTCGGTACCTGAGGCTAATGGAAAATACACTCTGCCCGTGGTGTGCTTCAACCTAACACCAGAAGAGAAGAGAACTATATGTACTTTCCTAAGGGGGGTCAAAGTCCCGACTGGGTTTTCAGCGAATGTGAAGAAGCTACTGTCGATCAAGGACTTGTCAATAACACACTACAAGGCTCACTATTGTCATGTGATGCTGATAGTGTTTCTACCTATTGCAATCAGGGCTATAATGCTAGAGTTCTTGAAAATGGCCATCACCCGTATATGCTACTTCTTTTCGAAGATCTCACATAAGACGATTGGCAAGAAAGAGCTGAGTGACCTACATGAATTTGTGGTGGATACACAAAACCAACTAGAGATATGTTTACCTCCTGCTTTTTTTGATATAATGCCATATCTCATGATTCACATGGTTCATTAGATACATGCGCTGGGCCCTTGCTACTTGCATGAAATGTGGTCCTACGAGTGGTTCATATCGGTTCTAAGCCGATATGTGCATAATCGAGCATACCCAGAGGGCTCCATGATAGAGGATTACAGTACTGAAGAAGTCATTGAGTGCTGTCAAGAGTACCTAAAAGTATAGAAAGGGATTGGTAAACCCGATTCTTGTCACAAGGGTAGTTTCGACATGAAAATGCGTCGACACATGGTGTAACACCTCTGGTGTTTTGACCTATCATTAAAATTTGACAAGTCATCATATGCATTGCAAAGCATTCATAAAGTAGAAAATGTTGAATGCATTCACTAAATAAGCTTTATTTCATAATGTTGTTATTTTATGTGATGTGATTCAAAACCCTAAATAAAGATCATGACCACAAGAGTCAAAATTCATGTGATCATGTGTTAATTGACTCAAATAACCCTAATGGGCCATGTTACTGGTCAAAAATCAAAGTTAAGTCAAAAGGTAAACAAATCAAATTTGAATTCAAATTCCAATTATAAAGGTCCTTTTTGCCCCTTTTGTCTATTTTAAAATCCATTTGGAATTTGGGGTTGTGACAAAAAGCAAAGTTGAAGCTTAGTTAATAAGGATCAACTTTGGTATTCAAAGTTTTTCAAGTTTACATATAAAATTTGGAG